TAATTTATGATGTTTTTATTTTTGCCATAAAAATATTAGGAATATAACAATATATATATACACATATATTATAAACAAAATGTATATTATATATAATTTGTATAAAAATATTATAATTAAAAAATATTATAATTACAAAAATAAATTTTATTTTTCATATATTTTTAGAAAAATTTGTTAATTTATGATGTTTTTAATTTTTATGTCATAAAAATATTAGGAATATAACAATATATATATATATATATATACACATATATTATAAACAAAATGTATATTATATATAATTTGTAAAATTTATATAATTAATGTTAACGAATCGAATATTCGAATTTCGAATTGAATATCTACACATTCGGATTTGAATTCGTTATAATTTCGAATCTAAAACATCATTCGAATTCGAATTCGAATTCGAATATTTCGAATTCGAATCACGAATCGAATAAAAAAGATTTATTCGAATTCGAATTCGAATTCGAATAAAAAAGATTTGATTTGTTTACAACCCTACCCCCAACGAGCGTACGTACGCATCTTCCTGGGTCAAGAAATGGACTAAGAAAAAACCATTCTCCAAATCCATCTTGTTGCGCCCGACCATATGGTGCCACATCTTTGTCAAACGGTTATAGAGGACTGCATGAGAGAGAGAGGTATCCATCGGTTTAACCACAACCACATTCTGCCACTCCTTCGCCAACATTTCATAAAAGCGGGGCGTGATTTAGACGTCCGGGACAGATGCCGAGAAATCCACCAATACATCCTCATCTAGCACAGCGTCATCGTCATCACTATCATCCATGGCAACATGTGGTCGATTCTTGCTCACCATGTCCCGAAAGCTCCACCGCGTGGGAGTAGTCTCAGTCTACGCTTGCGTTTTGGGGGGAATTGGTGTCGCCGCCAACAAAGGTCTCGCCGCTTCAGAACCCTCCGCTTCAGACATGATTCCGGGATCAAGAGGGCACCGACGTTTTGAGTATCGCCCATTAACGAGCGGGGGAACAGTGTAGACATGTCAAAACTGGCCGGCGGGGCAGGCCAGCCCGTAGCCCGCCGAAACCCGCCATTTGGCGGGGCGGGCCTTCAAAATGCCAGCCCGGCCCACCCCCGCCAGGCCGCCACGGGCCGTGGGCTAGGCGGACTGGCCTGCCTGAAGAAAAAAAATAACAAATCCATCCTCTCTTCTTAATTCTTACTCATCCATGTTCGTCATCCCAAAAAAATAAAAATGAAATCCATCTCCTAAAAAATCTGAAGCCCGAAATCTCCCCTGCTGAAGGAATCTGGAAACAACACTACCCACCTCCTACGTTCTCTCTTCTCATCCTCCTCCGGCCGCGACCACAAGCAAGACAACATTCCCCCACCTCTCCATCAATTGCGACAAGTCACGACACGCCGTGAACCACTCCAGGTCAGACTCACTCGCCAAGCGGAGCTCGACGAAGCCACGTGACAATCGAAGCACCGCGCGGAAGGACCTGGATCTCGGCACCGGTGTGCAACGTTTCACTACATCCCATTGTTTGTGCTCGATTCGTACGGGTCCTACGGGAAGAAAAATCGGCCAATTCATTAAAAATAAAATGAAATTAGGGCTGAAGAATGGAGAATTGAAGATTGTTGAGGATGATTACTTGATTAGTCCCTTTTCTGCTGATCGAATCGAGTCATGGACGATTAAAATGAAAATGGGCCTTTTATTTTTTGTTTTATTTATTGGGCTGACAGGAAGCCTGATTTGTTTTTTTTTATTGGGCTACATAATTAATCCATATATATATATATTATATTTAAAATAGGCGGGCCAGTCCGCGGCCTGCTAGGCCCGCCCCGCCAAAGCCCGTGGCCCGCACGGGCTAGCCCGTTTAGGCCCGTTCTCCAACGGGTCTCTAAAATCTCAACCCGACCCACTCTTTCGGCGGGACGGGGCGGGTCGGCCCGCGGGCCTAAGCCCGTTTTGACAAGTCTAGCTGAGTGCCAGAAATTCCGTGTTGAGCAGTTTAGATGTTTGGACACCGATACCAGCCGTCGTGAACACGGGTCGGTGATCTGTTTGGACAGTGGAGGTGGCCGCGCCGGCACCGCCGGGAGGCTCACTAGCAGGAACGATGGGGTTTACGGAAGGGTTTACTGTAGCAGTCATTTTCTTTAAGAACATGCCTTTTAACTTTCTCACTTTTAAGTTAGTAGAGATAGAGATTAATGCATATTTACGCTTACATCATACGGTCTTATACATTCTCACTATCGACTTCTTATTTGAGCGTCGAAGTTTCTTCTTCCGAGACTCCTCCCCGCTGTCTATTAGAGTACAAAGAACACACAATGTAGAAAGAGAAAGGGAAAGCTTTGATATTCAGATGAAAAGGAAAATGAACCGATAGGTCTCACTTTAGGGTTTGATCCCTATTTATATGATTACTGTTACAATGAAGTTGCTACTTGCTAAATAACACTTTTACATATAAAGGAAGAATACAACTAATAAAGCTAAAAGTACAACTAAGTATTACAACTATGAATACTCTATTACCCCCCCGCAAGTGGAGCATGGATGTTAATCAAGCTCAACTTGGAGAGTAAATTGTTGAACATAGGTCCTGGGAGTGGTTTGGTTAAGAAATCTGCCAGTTGAGTTTTTGTGGAAGTATGATGTAGCTGAATCAATCCTTGGGCTATTTTCTCTCTTATAAGGTGGCAGTCCAATTCAATGTGCTTTG